TGCTTATCCCAGAGTCTACAGAGTCAGGAAGAGTTTCACTTCTATTAATCTCTATCATGAGGTTTGACCTCTCAATGTTAATTGAACTCTCTACACTTTTCTTTCGTAGATGGAAAGAACATGTACTGCTTCATCAGTTGATCAGCAACCCGATCCCCCGATGCTAGCATCTACGAGGGGCAGAGGGCGAGGCCAAGGCCATGCTAGAGGCCGAGGCAGGGGCAGAGCTCAGCCCAGAGCTTGAGCAGCAGCACCAGCAGCGGAGCATCAGGTAGAGTTTGATGATGAGGTTCTGGCCTAGACAGTTCCAGCAGGGCCATCATAGGTTCCAAAGGGGTTCATAGCTACCCCGGTACTTCAGGATTCTTTAGTCTGTTAAGTGGGTCTTATGGATTGTGTTACTCAAGCAGTCATTCTTCCTATAGTACCAGCCATCTCTCGGGCTGGGGGAGGAGCATCGACTCTCTCTACTCATACTCCGGAGTAGATGGCTCCCCAATTTCAGACTCCAGCAGCTCAACCAGTTAGGGTAGTTCCGCACGGTGTTGTAGCACAGACCGGTGATGGATTAGCTATGTCTACAGATGCTTTGTGGAAGTTGGACAGGTTCACCAAGATTTTCACTACTACCTATGGCGGTACACCTTTAGAGGATCCCCAAGATTATTTGTAGTTGGCATGAGGTTCTACAGAATGGGGTCGACTTTGCTGCTTTTCTCTTATTAGGTTCCGCCAAGAAATGGTGGAGTGATTTTCATTTGGCTAGACTAGTTGGGTCGCCTCCTTTGATATGGGATCAATTTTCTCAGCTATTTCTGGAGAAGTTTCTCCATATCACTCAGAGAGAGGACTATCAAAGGAATTTTGAGCGCCTTCAGTAGGGTTCTATGACCGTCACTCAGTACGAGATCGGATTTGTGGATTTGGCTCGTTATGCTCTTCTTATACTTACCACAAAGAGAGAGATGATGAGGAGGTTTATTGAGGGACTCTCAGCCTATCAGATTGCAAATGGCTAAGGAGACAAGGAGCGAGATTTCTTTCTAGGACGTGGCCAATGTGGCCGGTGAGTTGAGGCGGTTCTATCTCAAGGGAGTGGTCAGGGGTCTGACAAGAGGTCTCGTCATTCTGGTACGTTCAGTGGTGCCTTGTTTGTAGGCAGGGATTCTTTTGGTAGAGGCCATCATCCCAGGCCATTTTATTTAGCACTTCAGGCATCTCATGGAACTTCGGGGGGTTGTGGTCCTTATGTACCTCCTTCAAGGCAGCCAGCTTATAGCGCACCGCCAGCTCCTATCAAAGCACCTCCTCTTCAGAGTTATTATCGTAGTCAGCCGACCCGTCAAGGTCAGTCTCTGTTTCCTCAGCTGTAGTGTTTAGATTGATGTTTTGAGTATGGTAAGTATAGGTATATCTGGAGGTCTTGTTCGAGAATAGTGGGTGCTCTGTCATAGAAGCAGAGTTCTTATGCTATGATTCTGATACCGCCTGCCCAGCCAGCTAGAGGTAGGGGTTAGGGAGCCACAGGTAGGGGTTAGCCCGCTAGAGGTGGAGGTCAGGCAGTTAGAGGTGGAGGCCAGGCCGCTAGAGGTGGAGGCCAACCAGCAGGAGGCATCCTAGAGATATAGTTCAGAGTGGTGGGGCCCAGCCCCGATGTTATACTTTTCCAGCCAGGCCTAAGGCTGAGTCCTTAGATGATGTTATCGCAGGTACTGCTTTTATTTGTAGTAGAGATTCTTCAGTTCTGTTTGATCTAGGGTCTACATAATCCTACATGTCTTCTTATTTTGCTTCATATTTGGTTGTGCCTCGTGATTCATTGAGTGCTGCAGTATATGTGTCTACACACAGTGGGTGATTCTATTGTTGTAGATCATGTCTATCGTTCGTGCGTGGTTGTTATTGGGGGTCTTGAGACTAGTGTAGATCTCCTACTTCTCGATATGGTGGATTTCCATGTCATTTTGGGGATGGATTAGCTGTCACCTTATAATTCCATATTGGATTATCACTCCAAGACCGTGACCTTAGTATTGCCGGGGTTTCCTCGATTGGAGTTGAGAGGGACTCCTGGTCATTCTACTAGTAGGGTCATTTCTTATATGAAGGCTCGGTGTATGGTCGATAAGGGGTGTTTGGCTTATTTGGTTTATGTTCATGATTCTAGTGCTGAGGTTCCTTCTATGGATTCTGTGCCAGTTTTTCGGGAGTTTCCAGAGGTGTTCCCTGCAGACCTGCCGGGGATGCCACCTGATAGGGATATTGACTTTTGCATTGATTTGGCTTTGAGCACTTAGCCCATTTCTATCCTACCGTATCGCATGGCCCCGCTAGAGTTGAAGGAATTGAAGGAGTAGTTATAGGATTTTCTTGATAAGGGCTTTATCAGACCTAGTGTCTCGCCCTAGGGTGCGCCGGTGTTGTTTGTTAAGAAGAAAGATGTATCAATGAGGATATGTATATATTATCGGCAGTTGAACAAAGTCACCATCAAGAACAAGTATCCATTGTCGAGGATTGATGATGTTTTTGATTAGCTTCAGGGTGCCAAATTGGTTTCAAAGATTGATTTGAGATTCGGCTACCATCAGTTGAGGATTAAGGCATCTGATGTCCCTAAGACAGCCTTTCACACTCGGTACGGGCATTATGAGTTCCTAGTGATGTCATTTGGGTTGACAAATGATCCACCAACATTTATGGATTTGATGAACCAGGTGTTCAAGACCTATTTGGATTCCTTTGTGATTGTCTTCATTGATGATATTTTGGTTTACTCCCGCAGCCGAGAGGAGCATGAGCATCACCTTTAAGTCATTCTTCAGACTCTAAGAGACAATCAGTTGTATGCTATGTTTTTGAAATGTGAGTTTTGGTTGAGTTTAGTAGCATTCCTGGGTCACATTGTATCAGTAGAGGGTATTCAGGTGGATCCTAAGAAGATTGAAGCAGTCAAGGAATGGCCTAGACCCATATTAGCTACAAAGATTTCGAGTTTCTTGGGTTTGGCGAGTTATTACCGTCGGTTTGTGGAGGGGTTTTCATCTATAGAGGCCTCAATGACCAGATTAACCTAGAAGGGTGCCCAGTTCATGTGGTCAGACGAGTGTGAGGCAAGCTTTCAGAAGCTCAAGATAGCTTTGACTACAGTGTCGGTGTTGGTGTTGCCCATAGGTTCAGGGCCATATACAGTTTATTTTGACTCATCTCGTATTGGACTTGGTGTGATGTTGATGCAGAATGGAAGGTTATTGCATATGCTTCACGGTAGTTAAAGATTCACGAGAAGAATAATCCAATTCATGATTTGGAGATAGCAGCCATTGTTCACGCATTAAAGATTTGGAGGCACTATTTATATGGCATGTCATGTGAGGTGTTCACGGATCACAAGAGTTTGCAATACTTTTTCAAGCAGAAGGAGCAAAATTTGAGGTAGAGGAGGTGGTTGGAGCTAAAGAAAGACTATGATATCACCATCTTGTATCATTCCAAAAAGGCAAATATGGTGGTCGATGCCTTAAGTAGGAAATCAACCAGTATGGGCAGCCTTACGTATATTCTAGTCAGTGAGAGACCACTTGCTTTGGATGTTCAGGCTTTAACCAATCAGTTCGTGAGGTTGGATGTTTCTGAGCCCATCCTTGTTCTAGCTTGCACAATCGCTCGTTCTTCATTATTTTAGCGTATCAAAGATCAGCAGTATGATGACCCTCATTGCTTGTCCTTAGGGACACAGTGCAACACGGTAGTTCCAAGTAGTTTACAGTTGTAGATGATGGAGTTTTGAGGATGCAGGGTCGTGTTTGTGTGCTTAATATGGATGGGCTTCGTGAGTTGATTCTAAAGGAGGCCCATAGTTCCTGGTATTCTATCCATCCGGGTGCCGCTAAGATGTATCAGGATTTGCGGCAGCATTATTGGTGGAGGAGGATGTAGAAGGATATTGTTGCCGCTAAGAGACCTTGTGGTTTGCTTTAGAAGATTGAGATTCCTGAGTGGAAGTGGGATCGTATCACTATGGACTTCGTTGTTGGACTCCCAGGTACTCAGATGAAGTTCGATGCAGTATGGCTTATTATGGATAGGCTGCCTAAATCAGTGCATTTCATTCCTATGGTAGTTTCCTATTCATCGGAGCGGTTGGTAAAGATATATATCCATGATATTGTTCGTCTTCATGGTGTGCCCGTGTCTATCATTTCTGATCAAGGTACACAGTTTATCTCGCATTTTTGGAGGGCAGTACAGCGTAAGCTGGGTACGCGGGTCGAGTTGAGCACAACATTTCATCCTCAAACGGATGGATAGTCCGAGCGTACTATTCAGATTTTGAAGGATATGCTTCGAGCATGTGTTATTGGCTTTGGAAGTTCTTAGGATCGGTTCTTGTCATTAGGGAGTTTGCCTACAACATCAGTTACCAGTCTAGCATCCAGATGGCTCCCTATGAGGAATTATATGGTAGACGGTATCGATCGCTAGTCGGGTGGTTTGAGATAAGGGAGGTTCGATTGTTGGGTACGGACACTACAGGAAAATAGGTCTTTAGCGATGGGAAATTCGGTCTTTAAAACTCCAAAACCGGTCGTTATCAGTCAATTACGATGGGATAAAAATTGGTCGTCGCCGGTTGTTAGTGCCTCCGTCAATAAAGATAAATGACCGGATTTTTATCCCGTCGTAAAAACTCTTTTAATGATGGCAAGGAATCCAGTCGTTATACCAAGATTAGCGAGAGGATTTTCCCATCGTTATATGTCGTCCCAGTCGTTAAAACCTTCACTAACGGTAATTATTTTTAATCGTTGTTAGTGTATGGCGACCGAAATTCCATTTCGTTAATTGTATGTACTTTTAACAACGTACTTTTTAAAAACCAAAATTTCCCTTTGCGAATGTGAACTTTTAAGTAATAAATATATTACACGCATTCGAAATCATACAAAGAATGAAGTCAATATTAACATAAAACATCTTTTTAATTATAGATAGAGAACTAATCAAAGTAGCACTAATATTACATTCAAATTGCATGATCCATGTTTTCAATTCCTTAAAGAAAACAAAAAATTAAAGAGAAAGTAAAATAGTAGTTTGTACGGATGACGACTACAACTCCTAATAAAACTTAATAGATTGTCCTTGTTCTTCAACAATTGTAGCTACTTCAACTTGCTCGGAACTATCTTTATGGAAGATTCTTCAAACTTTAGGGCCTTTATCAGATCTGTTAAAAAAAGATCATATTAGTTGAGTAAGAAATCAGGATTTAAGATTGATAAGTTGCTACGACACAGTAAAATGTAAAACCACGAAGCGAAGAGCATCTCAAAATACTATGAACAATTAGTGCTTCTTACAACTACATTACTAAATCCACCTTTTTTACAATTATATTTTCTATCAATCAGTATGCATATGCAATGAGAATGAGCATTCACCCTCTAAACTGGTCTTCTCTTTCCTGTATCTATAAATGTCTGCAGAGTAGGCCAAGAGACACATATAAATTGTAGTATGAGCTGCCAGCAGCAGCCTGTATACAAGTACCATTTCTGCATTTCAATAAACTGGCAGACAACAGACAACTGAGGATCCATTAAAACTCTCCTTTTGATTCAATGACAAAAGTGGATATCAACCAGAATCACTAAAAGGGTCAACATTGGGCATTGAAGTAGTGCAATTAAAGGATGTATCACCATCATTTCTGTGTTGTAGCCTCATATCACCATTATCCTTACCACCCATTTCCAAGAATTGAAAGATCTACAAATTTTATGGGGACTCAATTCGTGTGCACCTTCAAAAAGGCAACACTAATGCAATGGAGATTAAGAAATCTTCATTGAAGAGATTCTGATGCATTTAAGTGAGGCTGCTTCATCTTCTTAATTACTTAAAGTGACTACATGCACTTCTCAAAGTGTATCCTAGTCCATACATGTTTCCTCCACCCAGATCCTGAACTTCTATGATATTAGTGTTTCGTGCCTTTTTTATGACCTTTACTAAGCTGCATTCCTTCCATTCTGTAGTGCATCAATACCTGCAACTAGTTTAAATTCCTACTAGATCAAACCAGTTACGTGGAATAGATTTGACAGAAAATTGTGGTTGAGCCGCATCCATATTTTGTGCATGTTTTTCCACTCTATTTAGTGTAGTAGTAATGATTACTTCTAATTTATCAAAGCTTGTTGTTGTTCTTAAAAACACTTAGTGAACAATATGAAGGGTAGAAGGGGTCTGGAAAATGAAGAAAAATAGGGCTTCTGTAAACAAAGGTAGAAAAAAGTTGCACAGTAAGTATTGATCAAAATATAACAAAAGAAGAGAGCCCTTTTACACTTTCTTCCATTTTCAATGAGTTGTCATGTTGGGGTATTGTTCTTTTTGGAANTTTATCAGATTGTACCAGTTCTTGTATCACAGTATGGGGAGAGTTACACTAGCATTTAATGAACTCAATTTGGATGGTTAGTTCAGTATGTGTTGCTTTGCTTAGATAAGCATCACCATTGAACAATGCTGGGCAGAAAACTTGCTATACAGTCTTTGGCAATACAATTCAATCACATTGGATACAAATTGGAATAAATACCAATGCAACATGCTATTACACCAAACCAATATGGAATACAGGCAAAGGTTTCAAGGGGAAGAAGAGAGATGACACACAAAAATGATCACAAATATAGTTTACTGGTTCGTTGTTGTACAGTAAACTTACTCAACAGTATGTAGGGCAGAACTATTCTTTCCTACATATGCAAGAACTACTGGGAGGAAAAATGGAGCAGCAGGAATGGAAAGCCAATAGAAATGACATTAAAATCTCAACGAAGGAAGTTTCATGAGTTTTCTCTTTAAGTCATCTCTGCATTAAGTAAGACTATTTTTGCACAAAATGTGGTCCAATGAATTTTGTATAATTGCATCTTGTGGGTGCAGCAATTTTTACTGGTTATTGAGTATGTCATGAATAGCTTGTAGACCTCGTTTTGAGTTTTGATGACCAATTACTTTTCAATTTACACCTTCTGAAGTTCCCTTTTGCATTTTGCAGTCTCTCATTTTTCTGCATTGCACCTAACTGTAACAGCTAATGAGATGTTTTGAGTATCTATGTCATAGTTACTTAGGAGGGAAAGAGTTATACGTACTTTCAAATAAAGTACTGGACAGGACGATCATGCTATAATGTTTTTGGATGACTACTTTAGTCTGGTTGGTGGCTTAACTTTTACTTTCTGTAAAGTATCAGTTGATTTCAATAACTTCATACACCCTTCCCTTCCCTCTCCGCAAAGAGCGTTTCGTATTTTTCCTCCTTATTTTCTTGTTATTGCCTATTTTCTGGTGTAGTTTCTCAGAAAAACTTTAATTTCTAAGTACATTTGCACCCTGCACATCAATGCCACCCAGATATTTTACTATTTCATTGTCACTAACCTGCACATTGATCAACATTTTGCAAAAAGGATTTGGCTATCTGTGCAAGCAACGGAAAACAGATCTGGGCCTCAAATCTCAAATAATGTCATACGTTCAAACAATGAATCTGAGATGCACATATCTAATTGTATTTCAATATTAGAGTAACTATACATATGTCAAGGTCAGTAGTTTATTTAACTAACAACAAAACACTTCACTAAATTTATTTAAGGATATTTATAAGGCCATAGCTGGTAGAAAGCTTACGAACCTGTTAAATAATAATTTCAGCTTGTACTTTGTTGACTTGAAGATGGTGCTAATGAAGGCTGATCACCCAGTAAGCTGATAATATGTGCATACTTAGAATCTATGTCGTCCATACGTATTTCTAGTGATTCTTTTTCTTTTTTAGTTGTATTCAGCTCGGTCTGTAGTGATTCTTTTTCTTTTCAAACTGCATTCAGCTCAGCTAGTATTGTAGCCTTTGAGGAGCTACCGTCTTTCAACTCCTTAGTGGTTATATCACCCCCTAATTCAACCATGTGACTCTTGTTTTAAGGTCCGAAGCATCTTTCTACTACCTCGATATTCGTAAGAGACAACTCAGATTGTACTAGTTCTTGTATCTCAGCCTATAAATACAAGAAAAATTAAAATAATAAAATACATCAAAATAAAATGAAGGATGTAAAATGAAGTTCATCAATAAGCATACATATTTTTCACCAGCTTCAGGTTCTACAAGCATGTCATTTTTCTTGTGAGTCTCAAAGAAGATAGTCGCCATATTCGGTGGATTACCGTCTTTGCCTCCCTTCACATTTAAATAAACAAGTCAAACAAAGACACTATTTTTTTTATAGGATTGCACTGTGCACTTACTAGTTCGTTGATAATTTCTCTAATCGGCTTGCTACCCGTATGATTAGGCATTCTAAACTTAGACCTATTGATCGGGTTTCTCATACTTATTTCCTCTATTAAGAACAATCCATTGAAATCATGAGATATTACTTACAACAATAAGAAGTTAAAAGTAGTTATGAAGTCTTACCTTAAATTTTTCACTTAAAAAATGTTCCTTGACCAACCATTCCCAATCACTCTTGTCTACCTCATCCGGGACATCTTTTAGTGCTTCATGCAATGGCTTAAACTTCACATACTTGTGCAATGATCCTCTTCAATTGTTTGATAACTTTCTCATATGATTTAACACATGATCTCTTTGATGATTCATGTCATCACTGTCAAATTTTTCCTAAATATTTTGCAAAATCATTAATCAAGAAAGTAAAAAATTTCATGTAAACTAAAGATAGTTTTTACTGTTTCAAACAAAATGTGTCTATTTTCAGTGATATTTCTTAAGACCTAGGATCTTCAGCATTCACAAAGATTCATAAGTAAAGCATTTTCTAAATTACGTAGAGCTTAGAGCAACAACATGCCTTAGAAACTACACGCCAATAATATATACAGAAAACGACTTATTGTGATCAAACATTCTATAAGAGGCAACAGAAAAGTCAACAACCAATAAGCTCTAGTACTTTACAGTGCTATAAACCCAGCTTCCAGTATGCAAATTCTTGGATTTCAAGAAGAAATAATAAATATGTTCCACGTAATCAAATGTAACATTCTCTTCCCTTTTTAGCCTAACCCTCATAAGTCATAACATTATTTGAAGCAGTAACTTATAATCAAATCCTATGCAAAGAATCAAACTAATTCCCCTCCAGACCCAAATACCCCGTGCAGAAGGGTAATGTAGAAGCAGGTGTCACTGTGCTAGGTACACATTGAGAAACTATGGAGAGCCTTCATGTTAGTCACTTAACAAATGTAATCAAGCAGAAGTTTTGACATTGAATGTGACCTTACAGACTAAGAGATACACAAAAAACTTGCACTAAAGGTTGCAGCTTTACAACAAAACATTACAATATATGTAATAATTCACTAACACCATTATTGTGAGAAAACTATAGAGGTGTTTGTTGTATTACCTGTTACCTACATTCTGGGAAGTCCAAGAAGTAATTACGATTAGTTGTTGCAAAATACTATAGATGGTGTCATTAACAAGAAACCAATATTTAAAATTAGGAGTGGAAGTGCTGAACCATTTTCCATGAGATCAGGAACATGTAATTAGGGCAAGGAACACTAAAATCTCCAATAGTTTTGCTTCTTATAGAGTTCTATCTAGAGAATAAGAAACATACTCCTTGACTAGCACCTTAGATTTTTCCTTCTTATTGATTCCTTAAAACTAGATCATTATAACTTTGCCAAAAGGGGAATGTGCCTCTGGAAAAAGTAATTGGATTTGTACTTGTAGGCAAGACTGGGATCAGGTTAGATTGGATAAGGAGATTGAATATAGCCCTTGGAGTAGCCCGAGGTTTGCAGTATCTTCATGACCTTGTTAATACTCCTATCATACACAGAAACATCAAGTCCAACAACATCTTGCTAGATGAACGCCTAAACGCAAAAGTTTCTGATTTTGGTTTGTCCAAGCTTCTAGGTGACTCTGAAAGGGGTCACATTAACACTCAGGTCAAAGGAATAATGGTGAGTAAAGATTCTCTTCATGCCTGCCCAAACTTGTTTCATTTGGAATATTGTATGCTTATATCCTAGCATTTTCTGATGTCTACAAGTTCAGAAATTGTATTGTCTTGATAATTTCTAGTACAATAGGAACCATTTGGGACTTTCTAAGGGAGAAACATCTGCACTTAGGGGCATCATACCTTTGTGTCAATAATACATAAGGGGCATCATACCATTGTGTCAATAAAATGCACCTTAACTCTCACACCAGAAGAATTACTCAACAAGAATAACTACTGCCAGGTGCTGAATGATCAGCTATGACATGGGATTTTGGTGTTCAAAAATGGGATCGATGAGTGCATTATGGACTAAAATCTCAGTGTACTTCATTACCCTCATATACCAGGAAGGCTATCGAACAAAGTTGGTCTCAAAATTTTGCTCAAACTCATAAGAGATATGCAGCAAACTATGCAAACTCACTCATGTGCACAACTCTTGGTATAAAGATGTCATATTTTACAGAGCATTTGCAGTGGATCATAAGGTGCTACAGCTTGTACAATGCATTTTCATTAATCATACACAACACAAAGGATATAATGATTGTGGCTTCTTCAGCTCATCACCACAAATCTGGATAATACAAGTGATCCCGACAAGGGATGCAGTGAAACTAATTGAATGTAAAATGCAACAGATCATTTGTGGAATTAGCATTGATTAGAACTACTTTAACAAAAATTTCCAGCCACCAACAACATATCTAACATAGACCATAAACAGAGTGAGAACGGTAACAAAAATTTCAAGTACTTTCAATTAAAATATTGCTTTATCGTAACAGCTCGCCACATGTGTTATCTTTTGCAATGTCCTTCCATGAATGTACTTGCAATGGACACATATTACGATCACGAACTAATATACCCAAGTGTCTCAAAAATGAGGCTTGATGCTTCCCAACAATCCGATTATGGTAAAATTGACTCTAAACTTTTCTCGAGGTTTGAGTCCCGCAACATCTTTATTCCTATTCTTTCCTCTCACCTTTTTTTGGGTTTTCAGATTCACATAGATCTGCAAATTTTAATTTTTAACATAAATTAAATTCCAATTATATAATAAAAAAATATTAAACTTGATGCCTTGCATCATTTCATCTTCTTGAGAGAGAAAAACATCATCTTCCATCGGATCGAAACTAGGAGGCATAAGATTATTACTATTATGTGCTAGCTTATTCTGCTTAGAAGCCCCTAAGTTGTAATTTTTAATCTCTCCAAATAGATTTTTTTGCCAACATTTACTTTTGCAGAGCCCAAAGATCGAAAGCTTTGCCATCATCCCCTTGCTAAAGATGCAGGTTGAATGTATGCAAGATTTACATTCTTCAAAGCTCCTCCTGTTTCTGCAAATTTTGATTTATGTGAAACATAAAATCAATACCGGTTTAATAAGAAACAAAAAAAAATAAAACTTAAGAGACCTTGCTTCGCTTCAGCGTCTTGAGCAAGGGGAGCATCGTCTTCCATCGAAGCGAAACCAGGGGGCACAAGATTATCAGTATGTTCAAGCTTATTCTACTCAAAAGCTGTTGAGTTGTGATTTTTACTTTGGCCAATAAGAGTTCTCTTTCTAATACTTATTTTTACAGATCCCAAAGATCCAAAGTTGTGTCCTCTTCCCCTTACTAAAGCACCAGGTTGAATATATGCATGATGTACATTCATTGAAGTTGCTCCCATTTCAGACTTTGATGGATTCATGTCAACCTAAAATAAATAAAAGTATGGAGTAATTGTTAGCTGAGAAGAAAAGTCAAAGCAAATAGTAGATCTCTTTTACATACACAGGCACCATTCAAAAATTCCATCTTGTTAAGTTTCCTGATATACCCAAAATAGACTACTATATGAACCTGAAGTCAAAACCCCAGTTAGTATCCAACCATAAATAGTATCACATATTAAAGTAAAGATAATAACTTTACCCATTATTTTTCTTTTACACGTGCATAACCATTAGCAAAAAACTAACCACATGCATTCAACATTCAATAAGCAGAGAATTTGAATAGTGCAACAACACATTAGCAACATGTCAAAGTTGCTACATAGGCTATTCCAACTACAACAAGCTACTTTTAAGGTAGCTTTTTCACCATATTGCCTTCCAGCGATCTAACTGCATTATTTTCTAAAACAGGACAGGAGTAGAAAGATATTCAATTTCACCGAAAATCGACCAATCTCATTATATGGCACAGATTAGCTAAAATCATCAGTACTACATAGAATTAGAGCAAAGATCTAACTTTCATGATTTACTCTCAAGCAGATGAAAATTATGAAAAATCTGACCCCAAAATTTTATTTTGAGACGGGATTAGAACATGAAACACGAAAGCATCCTAATAAAATACAGAAAATTTGAATAGTGCAACAACACATTTGTTAATACATGTAATTCCTCAAACACAATAATTGCAATACATTAATACCAACTTTAATACCCCCATTTACTTATTTTCACTTTCTATTTTCCCTTGCAAGTCGATGGAAGGGACTACTTTACAATTCAATTCACTCAAAGCAGAAGACAGAGCACATCCAATAGCCAAAATTTATGATAATAAAGCAAAAGGATAAAACTCAATTGTCACTCACCAGAGAAGGCAAGAAAGGTGGAGCCTCAATGAGTGATGTCTTCTTGTGGAACACCTAGCAATTCTTAGCCTGATATTGAAAATCGTTTTGCTATGAATAAATAGAATTAGCAACACAAAAGCTAATAGGAAAAGCTTACCGAGCTTCAGCTGATGAATTTCGACTGTCTATTTGTCATCTAGACCGGATAGAGGCCTAGAGCTTCACCCAAATCTGTTGATTTTTCTATATAATAGAAATTGACAATCAAATGCTATCTAGTTTAGGATTTAAATGAGGTATATTGATAAAACTACTTCTTTGTTTATTGGGTAAAGGGGAAATACACGTGTTTTACAGCCGTTGACATTACATCCTAAGACTAAAGTATGAATTTAATCTGGATTGACAATTCAAAACTACCCATGCTCGTACACCCAAACTCTCATTTCTATTTAAACTCTAAGTCTACTATGTTTATGGCATGACACAAATACACTTAAAATAAATGTCACTACAACAAAGAAAAAAATGCTCTGGAAACACAAAAAAGGGCACTAAAATTTGCCATAATTTGTTAAAAGCAAAATTATTTTTATACTCCTGAGTTAGCAAAAGATAAAATCTACAGAACTATTTTAAGAAACCTCCAATACATCCTTGAGATATGAGGAGCAGAAAAATTTAAGCTCAAAATAACACATAGGAGAGGGGAAAAGGCAATTTTCACAACGTACAAGGCAAAGAAACTCGGAATGTAGGCTATATCTCGTATGGTCACCAGCTATTTAAGCTAAGCTTATCTTTATGCTATTATCACCCTATACAGAAGTTCAGTCATTGTACATGAATACAATCCAAGATCTAAATATGATACAATAGAAGAAATCTCTCAATTAAATAAACTTGTAAAAGAAATTTGATGGAACCACATTTTCTATCAACTCTTAAGCGAAAAGGAGGCAAATTTTTCCTCTTTTGACTTGGAAATAGGTCTGGAAGAAGCAAAATCAAAGCAAATGAATCACCGACTTTAAGATGAAGAAATTTATAATAGAATCATGAGGAAAGACCATCGCCTGCAATGGATCCCATCAAATGAATAACAAGGAGGAATATTTTTCACAGAGAAAGTATATTTCTAAGTGCAATGCATAAGAAATCAAAAGAAATTCAAGCTTGTAGTATTCCAATTACAAAGGAAAAACAAAAAGGTCGAAGGGAGTCTATTATATCATCCGTAATTTTTACAGTATTTTCAGTATCAAGATGTTCCTCAGATTTTCTCAGGTGATTAATTAAGTCTATAAGAACAAAAAAGGGATAGTGCGCAAAGCGGCCATTAATACTACACTGGATTATTCGTGTACTCTTACTATTCTGCAATTTCAAAGGAATAAGGTAGAACAACCTACCAAACAAAGAAAAAAAATAACATCAATAATATGTAACTAACAATCATACCCTACATCTTTAGTGTGTGGAAGATGGTAAATTGGCCCCAAAATGCTCAAAGAAAGATAATACTTTCTTCTAAAAGAGTCCTTGCTCAAACGCTCCTAGAGATTTCACTATTGTACCCCTAATAGGAGGAGGACAACAGAATACTCCAAAGAAGATGACTTAGACATATCATCAAACACATGAGTGCAAAGTCCACTTCAAAATTACAATCACTTTTGATACCTTAAGAAAAAATTAATCAAAGCGATAATGAGTGTGTAAATCAGGTACAATTATTAATGTAAATCAGGTATAATTACTAACATGTACCAAAATTTAGATAAAACTATATTCAAAACAACTACTGATAGCAATAAAGCAAGACCATGGAAACGCAAGCAATGCTCACCGGAGTTGTCCAGATCTTGGAGGTGCGACCTACAAGCTTAGACCAATTTCTGAAAATAACATGCAACAAATCCTTTTCATTTCAGAGAGAAAAGTAACAAAGAAGAATGAAGATATGAAGATGTAGGTGAGATATAGGAAGGCAAAGAAACAGAAACCATAAAGTTAGAATAAAGACATGTCTCTACAGCAATAAGATTCTTCAGAGAATCAACATTAAAATTGCTAGTACAGAATACGCACAGAATAAAGCTCTCTATTATGTAGTCAACAAGTCAGCGAAAGATCAAAATCCTAAGGAAAGCTTTCAGAGAGGGCATACAAACAACACTCACATTACAAGCAAATATTGAAAATGCATACCAAGTAAAAGTGATGCATAAAAACTAAATCAGAAAACTTCTTTTCTCAAGTTATTAGCCAAATTTTGACGTACTGTAAACGAGTTATGCCTAGAAAAGCAAGAAGCAAGAGGCCGAATGAAATAAATATTAACAGCAACCACTATAAAGGTTAAAAACCTTCATGAGTTCTTTTCCTTTTCATTTGTGTAGAATTCTCTAAATTCTCCAAATCATCATCCTTTTCTTGCAAAATGTCAAAAGTATCACGAGGCAAAACTTTTCTTACAACATGTCAGCCTTTATTTGAAGGATCATCGACATAAAATACTTGTAATGCTTGGTTTGCTAATACAAATGGCTCATTAGTTTTCAATAATCGCTAAGAATTAACACTCACAAAGCCATATTCATCCATTTTAACTTCATTTTCTTGGTCATACACATCAAACCACATACATCTAAACAAGATCACTCTTTTTCCTCCAATAAATTGCAATTCAAGAATCTCAGTGAGTTCTCCATAATAATCAATATTTTTATTCTCTTCGTCTGTCTCACCAACTACAACCACCCGGCAATTTTGAGTTCTCAAACCCTTGTCATAGTCTTCCACATGAAACCTATATCCATTAATAATGTAACCTTTGAGACGTTTCACATATGGCAGGGGACCACGTGACAAAGTAAGCAAATCTTTCATTTTCTTACAGTAATCACATTTGTACAATTCTACAACCTATCAAAATCAATTATATAATTTAATTAGCAAATACTATATAAAAAATTATGTTTTAAAAATAGCAATAATATATAACTAGTACTAACTTTTTTTTTAACCAACTAATGAACTCCCTATCTGAATGTTTTTGAGAGGTATCACCTGGAATTTCTGAAAACTCTCTACAAAAAAATTAAAGAATAAAATATCATTTTAATTGAAATCATGGATAAAGTATATGTGAATTATTATGTCGAATCAATACTTACTCGAGAAATGGTTGAATTTCGTCACAGTTCTTCAAAATATAAATATGTGCTTGCTCTAATTCATCTGGATTAAGTTTGTCCAATTTTCCATCTCTTAATTCTTTTCCAGATTGAGAAAAAATTGTTAAACCTCCATCAGATTCAATAACACCACCATCATAATTCCGCTCAAGGCGATTAAACTTTATTTCCATTGTATGCAAGTACCTTGAGCATAGAGTCAAACATTCAGTTGCCAAATATCCCTCCGCGATAGAACCTTCTGGGCAAGCCCTATTGCCAACTAAAGATTTCAAAAAGTATAGCCATCGCTCCACTGGATACATCCATCAATATTGAATAGGTCCAACAATCATAGCTTCATTAGCTAAATGAATCGGCAAGTGCACCATTACATCAAAAAATAAAGGAAGGAATACCTTTTCTAACTTGCACAGAGTTATAGGAATTTGCGCTGCTATCTGTTCTAACTCATCCATTCTTTAACATTTTGCTCCAATCAAGTAGAAAAATAAAGACAACTCAATAAGAGGTTCACGTACAGATTCGCAAAGCATACCACGTATATCAAGTGGAAGTAAATATTGAAGAAGAACATGGCAATCATGACCTTTTAGGCCTGAAAATTTGCGATCTTTAGTGTTGACACACTAAGATATATTTGATGAATATCCATCTGGTACCTTTAAGTTATTTAGGAATCTGAGAAATTTATTTTTCTCTTCCGGAGATAACGTGTAACATGCTGTTGGTAGCTCATATTTATCCCCATTTTTAATTGGATGCAATTCTTTCCTTATGTTCATTGTTTGCAAATCCAATGGAGATTTTATGGTATCTTTGATTTTTCCTTTGACATTTAAGATTGTCCCCAAAATATTGTCACATACATTTTTCTCAATATGCATCACATCTAAATTATGTCGCAACAATAGAGTTTTCCAATAGGGAAGATCAAAGAAAATACTCGTCTTATTCCAATTATCACCCCTACTCTCATGTGATATTTTAATCTTTTTCTTTGGATCCTTTGTTAGTGGTAAACCATCTAAATCAACCACTTGATCAAGTATATCCTGACCGGATAAAATTTTGGGTGGTGGTGTTCGCTCCTTAGTGCCATCAAATGACTCTTTATCATTCCTACACTTGTGATTAAGAGGAAGAAAGCGCCTATGACCCATATAACACTGCTTTTTACCATTTTTAACCTAATTGAGGATGTTTCTTTATTGCAACATAGGCAAGCCAATTTTCCTTTTGTACTCCATCCAGATAAGTTTGCATAAGCCGTAAAGTCATTAATGGTCTATAATAACGTTGCGTGCAACATAAAGTTTTGTTTAGTTGATACATCAAAGGTCTCCACTCCAGATTCACATAATTCCTTTAATTCATCCATCAAAGGCTGAAGAAAAACATCAATTGCGTCTCCTGGACTTTCAGGACCAAGAATAAGCATCGACAAAATAAAATTCTCTTTCTTCATACATAGCCAAGGTGGTAAATTATAAGGAATAAGTACAACAAGCCAAATGCTATACGGAGTTCTAGAACTTCCAAATGGTTGAAAACCATCACTAGCAAGTCCAAGTCGAATATTACGAGGTTCATCGGCGAAAGATTGGTGAAGTTCATCAAACTTTTTCCATGCTATTGAGTCAGCTGGGTGCCTCATTATTCCATCGTCAACTCTTTTGTCATGATTCCATGTCATTAAAGATGATATCTTTGAGGACATAAATAATCTTTGGGGTCTTGGCTTTAAGGAAAAATAACGTAAAATCTTGTGCGCTATCTTTTTCCCACTCTTAAATATAGTTTCTCCACTATGTTTATCCTCTTTCCATCTAGACGCTCCACAAACTTTGCAAGATTCAAGAAACTTGTCATCCTTCCAATATAACATACAATTATCTTACAAGCATCAATCTTCCTATAAGAAAGTCCAAGATCCCGGATTATCTTCTTTGCCTCGTAATATAAATCTGGCAAGTTTGATTCGTCAGGTAATAGATCTTCCTTCAACATTTTCAATAACATTGTAAATGACTCATGACTCCAACGCACAATACTTTTGATATGAAGCAATTTAACCATAGTAGAAACTTTAGAAACTTTTGAATTTTGGTACAATGGTTGCTCAAAATCCTTTAAAAGCCTATAAAAAAATTTTGCTTCAAGATTTGGCTCCATCTCAAGAAAATCATCACCATTAGTGATCGTATTGTCTGCATCAAAATCAGGGTATAAATCTCTTAGGATCCCATGTATTTCATCCTCACCACCAGCTTCTTCAATGTCATCATCTTCTACATCTTCTGGAGTTGATTGTGGCTCACCTAACTTTTCCCCGTGGTGATACCAAAAAGTATAATTTTGAATTATTTCATGTACTATTAAATGTGACTTAACCATCTCATGTGTTCCCAAAGATGTGTTACAACATTTAATACATGGACAGCGTATTACACGCGCTTCACTTAATCTTGTAAAAGCAAAATCCAAAAAGCTCTCCACCCCAAGCTTGTAAGCATTACCAAGTCAGTCATGAACAAGTTCCATCCATTTCTTATCAGGTACCATAATCTGGTGCATGTGTAATATATATATATATATATATATATATATATATGTTAAAACAACTTATGGATCATCAATAACTCCTATATTACGGGAAAACTTATCAAAGAATTATATTATATTTAAAACAAAAAACCTCTTAGTAAAACATTATTTATTTTTTTACTCTTTAAAAATTTATTTTACACTAGACATGATTATAATATAATTAATTTTTTAATATTGAGATAACCCACAAACACAATATTTTAAAATATTAAAAATAATTTACATAGTATTTTGTATTAGTTAAAGAACAAGAACAAGTCGCATTTGCTCGCCAGAAGGGAAAAAAAAGAATCTTGTAAGTTAGCTGACATGTTATGTCTTCTAGAATGAACTTATGAATACATTAAAACATATAACTCTTCAAGAATATTTTTCGAAAAAGCTCTTAAATATTCAAAGGCTATGTGTTCTAACTAAAACTAAAAAGGAAGCATGATAATTTGTAATGTCTAAGTATTAAAATGATTAAACTGAGATAAATTTCAAGTTGAATATATTAACCGAGATAACTGATTACCTTTTATGAGGTAAAGTTTCTTTCTTTATTGAGTTAGTTAAATAGGATAGACATTTGTAATTTTCAGGAGTTTACATTTTCTCCTTCACTTTTATTTCTTAGTCAAACACAATTTTCATATAATATTTATCTACTTTTTCAAATAATTTGTTTTCATTTAGATAGGATTCACGCGCAATGCACGTATCCTAAAACTATTTATACTAAAAGTATGAAGCTCCTAACGTCAAATTTGATTTACCAAAATGGCCATAAAAATTGAATACCCATTTTATCCTCAATCAAAAACATTGTATACTTTATAACGAAATGCTACCATAATAAATTTATAAGCTACTAAACTGCTTTTCATGTGCAACGTATATGAGCATTGAAATGAAAATAGTAACAGAACTGCGTGGGTAACATTGATTCAAGAATCTTGAAGGATATATAGTTACTACTTATTTATTGTGATTAGTGATGGTAAGTCGTGTAAAAAGTAATTTTAAACTTTATATAGTAAGGAAATAAAATATATTGACAGGCTTAAAGTCTATTTTCCTCCTCCATTCTTAGAAGTACTACGTTCAATGATGACAATCTCATTTTACAAGTTATCTGAGTGTTGGATTGGTTTATATGGAGTGAAGAAAAGCAAGTAATTAGTGAAAAAGATACTACTTGGGAGCAATATGCGCTATGATTTTGGCGTTGATTCATGGCTCATGAAAATAGATCAAACAACAATTCAGAGCATGCAAAGGCTAATCACTAATAATGAGTCACTTTCAGTAGGTAAAACTAAATATGTTCTGAGGTCAACTGGTGAAAAGCAAGTTCTGATCTAGTGTAGTCTAGAATAGAAAAGAATAAAGTTAATGGCTGATATGCTTTGTGGGGAATCTGGATTGTTATTTGCATAACTAAAGGCGTCATCTAGGTTTAAGTTTTATCCAATTACATGTTCTTCTAGATTCTGGCCAGCTTCCTTGTGTTATGTTTGTTATCTTTTATCAAACTCTATTACTTTTACTAGTAAGAAGTCTTATTTTTCCACTAAAACTTTCAGGGATACTAAGAAAAAGAAGAACAAGAAAAATCAACATGATGGAAAAACAGTTACAGAGGTTGAACAAAATAAAAAGAATGAATCACACGAGGTGGAGGAAAATGAAGCGACTAAGTCTTCTTTATTGAGGACCTATGGAAATGGATTGGTCATAGAGGAGTTGGTAATGGGCAAGCCGGATGGGAAAAGAACTTTCCCAGGAAGTTAGGTATAGTTTTATTTTTTTGACTCTATGTGATAATTAAATTGTTCTCTCACTCTAGCATAGAAAGTAATGAAATCTTGGTAGTCACAATTAAGTCAATCAGGATTTAAGTTTCTTAATCTTTGAGTTCTCTTTGATGAACTTGTACAGAGCACACTTATTATTAATAATAATTTTCTGCCACTGAATAGGTTGGTGTACGCTATATAGGCAAGATGAAGAAGAATGGCAAAATATCTGATTCCAACATTGGGCAAAGAACACCTTCTGAAACAAATATAATTTTACTCTTTTTTTCATACAGGCAATGCAGAGCCACATGTATCAAATAATTCAATTGAATTCGCTACGCCGAAAAATTATAATGTGCAAATAGGAGACAAATTTTTTGTACATATATAACAGTTTGAATTATGTGTAAATTCTGAATCCCCTTATAAGAATTACTAGCTGCAATGCGTATAAGACCTCTCTCGCAAACTATAACAGATTAAGAATCCAAAAATTTTACCTATCGTGCATTATAATAAGAAGCATAAAATGGCAGAGACAGCAGAAGATGGGGAAAACAACAACTTTGATGGAAAGCAGTTGGTTCTGTGCATTGAAGAATTGCAAGAAATATACTAGAAACAGAACAATTATCATATAAATCTGGAAGGCGTCGACTTGGAAAAGCATAGAGAAAACAAAAAGCCCAATTTCACAATAATTACAACTACAAATTTAGTAACTTGAGTTTACCTTGACGAGAATGCACAACAAGAAGACCAAATCGTATAAACTGCATTGACAGAACCCACAAATCAAGTATAAGCATAGCAAATAACAAAACCCAGCTATTAGCGTTGACACCCAGCTATTATCGTTGACACAGATTCACCACAAAGCACACAAATTATAAGTTGCGTACAACAAGAAGACCAAATCGTATAAACTGCATTGACAGAACCCACAAATCAAGTATAAGCATAGCAAATAACAAAACCCAGCTATTAGCGTTGACACCCAGCTATTATCGTTGACACAGATTCACCACAAAGCACACAAATTATAAGTTGCGTACAACAAGAAGACCAAATCATTTTGTGATTTTTCGTTGAGTTTTGCCCTCTATATATATAGTGTTAAATCAATCGCTAGAACTCGCCGATGGAGTAGCGGGAAGTTGCAGTGAGGGCCTATTTGTTCGTGATTCTTTGCATCCTCTTTGCTGAATCTGGTGTACGTGTTTTGGGATAACACTGGATTGACAGATTATAGGGTTTTTTTGATTAATTTGGGGAATATGGGTGGAGTTGTTGAGGAAAAAAAGGAGGGAATAATTACCACATAATTTTCATTATATTCAGATTTATAACGAGGGGATTGACATAATTTGAAAGACTGGAAATTATTCCCTCGTAAAAAATAAAGTAAAAAATGACTTTAACGACCGGAATAAATATTGGCCGCTATAAGCATACATATAACAATTGGATTAATTTCCTTTCGTAAAGAAGTGGTCGTTAAAGACCTTTTTTCCTATAGTGGGATTTGGTACAGGATGCCTTGGATAAGGTTAAGACCATTCAGGATAGGCTTCGTACAGCTCAGTCCAAGCAAAAGAGTTACGCCGACCGTAAGGTTCGTGATGTGGCATTCATGATCGGAGAGCGAGTGTTTCTTCCGGTATCGCCCATGTAGGGCATGATGAGATTTGAGAAAAAGGGAAAGCTAAGCTCTAGGTTCATAGGACCTTTTGAGATCCTTGATCGAGTAGGAGAGGTGGCTTACAGACTTGCATTGCAGCCAGGTTTATCAGCGGTGCATCCAGTATTTCTTGTGTCCATGCTTCAGAAGTATCATGGTGATCCATCCCACGTGTTAGACTTCAGCACTGTCCAGTTAGACAAGGATTTGACCTACGAGGAGGAGCCGATAGCCATTTTAGACCGGCAGGTTCGTCAGTTGACATCGAAGAGTTATCCTTCGGTTCGTGTTCAGTAGAGAGGTCAGCCTATTGAGGCATCTACCTAGGAGTTCGAGTCCAATATGCCGAGCCGATATCCCCATCTTTTCACCGACTCAGGTACTTTTCTATGTTCGTTCGAGGACGAACGGTTGTTTTAGAGGTGGAGAATGTGATGACCCGAAAGGTCATCTTTTGTTTTAGAATCTGTTTCTGTGTTATGAGGCCTTGAAAACCTCCTTTTGTTTCTCCTTGATTTGCGTGCACATTCTGGGCTCGATACCGAAAAGTTTTTGTTTGAAAAATTTAAAAAATAACGATTTTTGGATTAAAAAGATGATTTTAGTTGACTTCGGTCAATATTTTGGATAAACGGACTCGGACCCGTGTTCTGACGGTCTCGCAAGGTCTGTAGTATAGTATGGGACTTGGACGTATGTCCGAAATCGAATTCCATGGTCCCTAGCTCGAGAAATGAATTTTTAAAGAAAATTGTTTAACTAAAAATATAATGGTGTTTGAAAATTTAATAAGATTTGATATTGTTGGAGTCGGGCCCTTATTTTGGTTCCGAAGCCCGATACAGGTCCGTCATGGTATTTGAACCCTATCTGTGAAATTTGATGAAAAACGGAAGAGATTTGATGTAATTCGGACCCTTGGTTAAGAAAATACAAATTTTGAACTATCTTGAGAATTTCTTGGGTTTTGGTGTTGGATTCATAGTTCTAGATATTATTTTGGCGATTTGATCATTCGATCAAGTCCGTATGATATTTTTAGACTTGTATACATGTTTAGTTTGGAGCCCCGAGGGCTCGGGTGAGTTTTGGATACGCCACAGAGTGTTTTGAAACTTAAGAAAATTGCTGGTATGTTTCAAGTCTGCAGGCTTCGCATTAGCTCGAAAATGCGAGCAACGCATTTGCTAAGAAAGATCGCATTTGCGATCAGAGGGGCTGGGAGGAGACCTTCGCAATTGCGAAGCTCAGGATCGCATTTGCGATGAAAGCAGGTCCTGGACATTCTTCGCATTTGTGATGAAATTTTTGCGTTTGTGGGGTTCGCAATCGCAAATGCTATATCTACAACTGTTCAAAAATGATTTTGAACGGGATTTTCACTTCATTTCTCAAATTTTCAAACCCTAAGCTCCCATAGGAGATTTTCTAAAGAAAAGTTCTTCTCCAAATCATAGGTAAGCAACTTCTAACTTATTTCCTTTAATCTATTTCATCTTTTTACAAGATTTCTTTGGTTATGCATTGGAGTTGACTTATTTAGCATTTATTGATGTTATTGAGTTAATTATGGCTAGATACGAGTGAATTGGTGGTGGAATCGAGAGGTAAAGCGGTTTTTGAGCTTTGAAATACCCGTTGGCTTGAGGTAAGTGTTTGGTCTAACCTTGATTTGAGGGAATAGGAATCACCGACTTATTTACTTTGTGAAATTCCATGTGCGTGGCGTATAAGTGTGGTGACAAGTACCTATGCGCCAACAATTTTTCATTTTTAGCTTGTTCCCTTCCTCGTTTCCTATTACACTACTTCTTGCCTTAATTGCTACTTTCTCATCATTATTCCCATGTCTTAATTGCTACTTGCTTATAATTGTTTCCATGTCTTAAATGCTACTTGCTCATAAATGTTTCCATGTCTAATTGCTTCATATTAACTGTTGTTCTCTTTATTTGAAGTATTTAATTGTTTCATGGTTTTGTTTTACTAAACTGTTGGCTTATATTGTCTTGTTGGTGCCTTATGGTACACCTTGGTTGGTCTTACTCAGTAGTTTACACTAATGAAGATTCATAATCATAGTGATATTCTATTGTGTAGATTGTGGTACAAGTATATTGGAGGATTTGAATTAACCTGTGAAACACTTCTCTTTATTCATTTGTGTTTGGTGCTGATATATATATATATATATATATATATATATATGCACGCCACAACAAGAGTAATAAGGGTGGACAAGTGGGATCAGGTTGCACCGCAACAGGAGGAATAAAGGCGATATGTGTTGAGGAGTAATAAGGGTGGACAGGTGATATCGGGTTGCGCACCGCAACAAAGAAGAATGAGGGTGAATATTGATATTATTATTGTTTATATGATGGGACCGGGATGCACACCGCATCAGTTTTTGTTTTAGCATTTATTTTATGTGAAGTTCATTATTGAAATGTTGGAACTCCCTAAAAATTGGTTATAGCTGAATACTAGTAGAAGGACTGGGTTCCGCATACCGTAAATGAAAAATTCCAGTTATATTTCATTTTTTACTTCTTTTCTATTTATTATAAACAGTTGTAGGTTATACATATATTTTTATGTCGCACCGTAGCCTCGTCACTACTTCGTCGAGGCTAGGCTTGGCATTTACCAGTACATGGGGTAGGTTGTACTCATACTGCACACTGCACTTCTTGTGCAAATTTTAGAGCTAGTGTCTGATCGAGAGGTTGGTTGTTGTTGCTGCATTCCGGAGACCCAAGGTAGTTAGGCGTCCGTAGGCCCTGACGTCCCCTTCTATCCTATTTCATTTCTGTTTTATCTACTTTTGAGACAGATGTAAACTTTCTTCAAACCATTATTTGTAGTACTCGTAGATCGTTCGTGAGTTGTGACACCAGTTCTGGGTGGATTTTATTTCGGCTTCTGTTATTAGCTTAAAGATAATCTCTTAAACCGTGTTATTCCGCATTCCATTAATTTACTTTTGTAAAATTTTAATTATTTAAAGATAATGGAAAAAGTAAAATATTCTATAATGTTGGCTTGCCTAGAGGGTTCAATGTTAGGTGCCATCACGGTCCTGACGGTGGGAAATTCGAATCGTGACACTTGACTTAAGTCGTAATCCTACTCCGTTAGTTTAAAAAGAGAGTGTTGTAATTGTGAATTATCAAGAAATCTATTTTGTTACGAGAATGTAATTAATTTATTTAAGAAAACCAAGATTGTGTCCCCATCAATGGAATATAATGATATCGATGCTAATATAATATTTTTCTAATGGAAGGTCCTTTGACATGCAAATGGTTCCTAAATGACTACCCAATATTTTTGAACCTGCTTATTTCTAAGTGATTCTATTAAGCAAGGTTTAAAGAGTTTTTGCTATTCAATTCTATCAAACCCTGACCCACTTTTCCAAGTAAAAATAGAGTAAAATGTCATTAGTCAATGTTTGCAACCATCAACAATAAATGAAGCATGAGAAATGAATAGGTACCAACCAACTATTATATATATATTCTCAATGGTACACACTCATTAACATTACACCCATTTAGGGTCCACAACCTTAGTATTTAAAACTAGCTACTCATATTAGAATCCAAGAACAAAGAAATAAATAAGGTCATAATTCATACAAAGATGTCAAGAATTGCTCTTCAAAAGCTTCCATAATAATGGTTTATTCAATGCTCTAAGTGTAGCTCTTTTTCCGACAAGATGTCCAACAAAAATCCTAGTTATTCTATTTATAATGGGCTAAAAGTCGGGGTCAAAAAGTGACAAAAATGACCCTGCATATTAGAATGGGTCCCAGAATGCTTTCGCGATCTGCATATCTTCATTTCCTTCGCAAAGCTGATTACCCAGTTCTCCAGTTTTCCATCGCATTTCTGTTATGTGGTCCGCATAATGATTTCACGACCGTATATTGTACCACAAAGTCATTTTTACAAAAACACTTTTTGCATTCGTGCGATCATGATGCAGTCGACACAAGAGTTATAGGATGGCTAGCTTCACTCTGCGGTTGGTCTGCGGCCCGCACATCACTTTTCCGGTCAGACCTGCCGTATTTCTGCCCTTCTATGGGTTTTTATCATCTTTTTTATGTTCTTGGCTTTTCAAATTTGGTTTTCTGTAAAACACCAAAACTACATAAGAAATGACTTATAATGCTTTAAAAGACAAGCTAAAGTCCATGTAATTAGTATCAGTGCCGCAATTCTGCAGCAAATAAAAAACCACCCTTAGGATTTGGCTTAAGTGTACTATTTGAATTATGTGAAAGACATGCACATGAGATGACGAGTGTATACACGAGTTTCATGTGTAAAAATTTATTGATTTAGATTCATAGGTTACTCATAAGCACTTAATTGATATTATTATTATTATTATTATTATTATTATTATTATTATTATTATTACAAATTCCACTTTTTGTTGTCAATTTTATTCTCGCATGCCTTAATTAAAGTTGTTATTACATGTTCTAGTTTCCATTGTCAATATTATTCTTATAGGCATTCATTTGTAGTTGTTGTTTGTCACGACCCTAAACCCGGACCCGGTCGTGATGGCGCCTCTCGTGAAGACAAGGCCAACCGACACTTCCCATTTTCCAATTTTTTTAATAGTTAAGCATTAAGAAACGGTCGAAAACATGAATAAATAATCCAAAGTAGCATATAATATCATAGATACGCGGAAGAACAACCCAACATAGCCCTAACTGGGGTGTCACTAGTCATGAGCATCTATAAGTCATAATACAAATCTGCTAAGTCAATAAACTAGTACAAATGTCTAAAAAGAGACAGAAATGATAAATGAGGAGAAATACGGGATTGCGGACGTCAAGCAGTTACCTCGTGGACTCTGATATCGCCGGGAGCTCTCAACTCACACTAGCAGGATACGCAATGCCTGAATCTGCACATAGGGATGTAGGGAGGAAAGTGAGTACTCCAACTCAGTGAGTAACAAATGTAAATAAAGACTGAAAGCAAGAAATCACGTAAGGCACAAAGCATTCTATAAAGAAGCAGTAAAACCATTTAGTATCAGTAAATCAGTGAAAGGTAGGTAAAATCCTTTAACTCAAATGTAGTTTCATGAAAACCCTTTTTAAATAATTAAGCAGGTAATTGGCAGACAAATATGAAAAATAAACACATAAAGGCTCGCCCCTTGGGCACAATAGCAACAAATTCGCCCGTCGGGAAATATCTCAGAACAGTACCAGCCCCTTGGGCAAATCACATAGAACAATACCAGCCCCTCGGGCTCAATCTCATATCACAATGGGTACCCGCGCTCACTGGAGGTGTACAAACTCCTGGAGGGGCCCTTTACGGCCCAAGCGCAATATCAAGCCACCTCGTGGCATCATCACTAGGCCCTCGGCCTCATATTAATCAAGCCACCTCGTGGCATACATATCTCAGGCCCTCGGCCTCAAATCAATATTAGTGTTTCCTTACAACATAGACCTTCAGCCTTACTTAGTCAAAAATCCTCACAAGCCACTTAGGTTATAGTAAAACAGTGTTTCTCAGCCCAAACATCATTTAAGAATATGATTTAAGTATTAAAACGGAGTAAACATGGCTGAGTACGAAAACAATGGAAAATAACATGACTGAATTCAAGTATAAAGTCAAAATAGTGAGGAAATATCAATAAAATCCCCGAAGGGTTCAAATAGTTGGCACAAGGCCCAAATATGACATTCAACCCAAATCATGATGATAGCAAATAGATTTCAGTCAAATATGCGGTAAAATAGTCATTTGGGATGGACTAAGTCACAATCCCCAACAGTGCACGACCCCACACTCGTCATCAAGCATGTGCGTCACTTCAATATAGCACTACGATGTGCAATCCGGGGTTTCAAACCCTCAGAACATCATTTACAATCATTACTCACCTCGAACCGGTCAAATCTCTAGCTCGCAACGCCTTTGCCCCTCGAATCGGCCTCCACTGGCATTGAATCTATCAAAAATCAGAACGAACATATCAAAATAGGCTAAGGGAACGAAGCCCAAGCGAAAATAATCAAAATACTACACAAATCCCAAAATTACCAAAACCCGACCCTCGGGCCCACGTCTTGGAATTTGATAATTTTTACGTCAATAGATTCCTTATCTCTCGACGAGTTCATACATATCAAAAGTTCTCAAATCCGACCCCAAATGGTCCTTCAAATCCTCAATTAAAGGTCTAAGTTTCCAAGCCCTAGTTCTTCAATTTTGGCTTAATTTTCATGTTTTTCTAGGCGTAATTCACATAATAATCGAGTTTTAAGTCAAAAAATCTTACTTCCAAGTGATTCCTCTTGAATCCCTCTTCAATCTCCTTCAGAAAGCTCCAAGAACGACCAACTATGGAGGAAATAAACCCTACATTCACAGACAAGACGACCTTTTAAACTTTTGCCCAGGCCTAAAAATCCTACTTCGCGAACACGGTCAAAGGCTCGCGTTTGCGAAGCACAAAAATTCTGCTGACCAAAACTCTCCTTCGCGAACGCGACCCTACCATCGCGAATGCGATGCTTCAGTCTCTCAAACCTACGTGAATGCGACAATGCCTCTAAGAACGCGATGCATACTAACCCGGCCCTTCGCGAACACGAAGACCAAACTTGAAGCCTCCCATCCTGACCCTTCGCGAATGCGAGGGTCCACTCGCGAACGCGAAGACCAAAACACCTGCAACTGCTGGAACTCAAAATTTGCAACTTTCTTAACTTCAAAATGATCCGTTCAACCCCTCGAAACTTACCTGAGGCCCCCGGGACCTCAACCAAAGGCACCAATATAACCCAAAACCTTATTCAAACTTGTACCAACCTTCAAAACACCTCAAACAACATCAAAGCAACCAAAACACATCGGATTCAAGCCAAACTTTCTAAAATCTTCCAAATTCCGTGTTTGATCAAAAACCCAACCAAACCGCGTCCGAATGACCTGAAATTTTGCACACACATCCCAAATGACACAACGGAACTACTGTAACTCTTGGAATTCCATTCCGACCCTATATCACAATCTCTCCTACCAACCAGAAATCGCCAAAATATCAACTTCACCAATTCAAGCCTAAATCTACTCTGGACCTCCAAAACCCACTCCGATCGCACTCCTATGTCCCAAATTACCTCCCGAAGCTAACCGAACCACCGAAACTCACATCCGAGCCCTCTAACACATAAGTCAACATCCGGTTGACTTTTCCAACTTAAACTTCCTTAAAAGAGACTAAGTGTCTCAAACCTTACCAAAATCATCTCGGATTCGATACGACCAACCCGATACCACATAACATGGATAGCAAAGCATAAAGAAGCAGAAATAAGGAAAATGGAGGCGTAACCCATGAGACGACTGGCCAGGTCGTCACATCGCTACATGTCATTCTTCACATTGTTGAGTTATTTTCATGCGTTTAAACTTACTTGCTTTTTTATGCTATCTTTTGCATTGTTAAGCTTACATTTTACTCTTGAATTAAAAGTTTCCATTCTATGGGAAATACCTTCATTGTGGGTTATTGAAGTTATAATTGTGAAAGCTATTAACACATTGAGGTTAAAGTTGCTGACTATTGCTATATCTTTCATACATATATTTGTCATTTATATTGTTGTTATTGAAATTCTTGTACACATTGTGGTTGAGATGTGGACTATGCAGGTTGATAATATTGGTATTGTTGATTTTGCAAAAGTTGTAGCATATGAGCACTGTAGACATGTGATTTTTGACCATCCCCAAGATTTTTTATATTTTAGCATGTAAATATTTAATTTAGGCCTAATATAGCTATTTAAACTATTTTTGACTTCTTTACTTTATTTTCGTCATAAAAATGGAAAATTACAAAAAAAAAATATTTTTAGCTTACATATCTTTCATAATTTAAATAAAAAATATACAAAAATAGTACCTTTATTTTATCTTTACATAATATTGAAAATACAAAAATACATAATAGTTTCATGTTAGATTTTGCATTGTGTAGTATTTTTGTCTTATTTTAAAAGAAGTCAATTAAGGTGTTAGATCACAATTTTAAGAGTGTTAGAGCCCAATTCTTGGCCCAATTCGGATTAGTCCATTAAACCTATGGACCCTTTTAGATTCTACTTTAGAACCAAAAACAAATAAAAAGGACCCTAAGGACTTAACACAAAAAGACCTAGGGACTAATTGGAAAATACGCCTAAACCTAGCCTCTACATATAGGTAATGCCTAAAAATCTGAGGGAGGAGTGCAGCTTTACATCAGGAAGGCCCCCCCCCCCCTCTGGATCTCGTCTCCTTCACACATCCCCCACCGACTGAGCTTCTTCTTTAGAGAAGAAGAGCCATTTCAATGTCTTCTCCTTAACCAACCCAACAACCCCTGCTCTCTTCTTCCATCCTCACACCTTCCTGCTCTCACTCCTTCACTCACGTTTTTAGCACACACACACTCCTAAAACAATACAAGCACTCAAAATTGCTAGATTTCGAAAATCTGGAAAAATAAAATCCAAAGAGCTTCAAACAAAAGTTGAAAACTAAAATTAAAAGGACTGCTTTCAATTTCTTCCGGTTTTGGAGTCGATTTCCGGGTCTGTTGAAGGAACTTTGTTGGTGTTTGTTCGCTGCCGGGAGCTCGAAATTCATCTTCTATTTTAGACCCTTGCTTGTTGTAATCAGTTTATTTTCAGCTATTTAGGTATGTATACATCTACCAAATCCTCTTTTGAATGTGAATGAGTATTGGGATTTTTGACTCAATGAATATGTTCGATTTTTCTCTGTCCTTTTTGTTCGATGACCAGATCTGTCTTGCTTCTATCTGTCGACAATTGATTAATATTGCTAAACTAAAATTAGTAATGATATGCTTCCCCTTAGATGCCATACCTTTTACTTCTAGAAAAATGAAACATTTTCTGCTAAGATGGATTTGAGGAGATTCCAGTACTTTAATAGTGTGTCATACGTGTGAGTTCTAGACCATGGGATTACATATTTGGTCTTACAAACATTTGTTTGATCTGAAGAGTCGTCATGGAGCCTTGAACACAGTATGGATATACCAAAGTGTATAGATCATAGATGTGTGAATATATGCAATTTGTTTGTAAATGTTTTCTTTAGAAACTTAATCAGATATTGGCTTCTTTAGAATTCTGTGTTGACTCTCTAAAATATGAAGCAGTGGACTATACAAATTAGGAGTCTATTAATCTTGATGCAGTTAGTTGTCCAACAATACCATAGAAGTCACTATATTTCTCTTTCTAACACTAATGTCTAAGTGTACGGTGATTTAAAATTTGTTTATTTTACAAATAGTTAAGGATGATCTAAGATATTGGAAAGTCAGTGAACTTATTAATTTTTTGTGTTATGCATACCTAGCATTCAGTGCTCTTGGGGAACCTTATAATTGCAGATGCCTCTAGGTAAGCTTTTACTCAAATTATCGTGATTACGTACACGTTCGCGTGACATAATTATAATCCTAAAAACAAACTTAGAGCATCCGTTCGCGCAACTTAGATCAAGCTTTCTTAGCAATAAAATTGTTTCTACTTGGCCGTTAATTAAATTTAGTTCATATAGTCTGAGGTGTGCCATCCAAATTTTAATTATACAAGGCCCTCGTATTAATTTCATAACCTAGTTATAAAAAATGAATTTCGTAGTTTGCTTTAGGCGCATAATTTAAAATTACCTTCCTAAACTCGGGTGTGCATTTCATGTGACCCAAATCCAAATCTTAACAACGTTATATAAAATGTGTCTCGGACTGCGGGTGCATTTCATGTGGCGTGGTTCAAAGACGTATTTTAGATGACGTTGAAATCTTCCTTAAAATATTTAAAAGCGGTTTAAAGCTAAAATGCACATAGGTTCAAAATGTTTTTAAATTAGATAATTAGGCCAATAATAATAGTTGAGCGGTCGTGCTAGAACCACGGAACTCGGGAATGCCTAACACCTTCTCCCGGGTTAACAAAATTTCTTATGCAGATTTTTGGTTCGCGGACTGTAATACAGAGTCAATCTTTTCCTCGATTCGTGATTTGAACCGGTGACTTGGGACACCATAAAATTATCCCAAGTGGCGACTCTGATTTTTAATAAAAAAAAAATCCCGATTCGATTATCACCTAAATTGGAAAAACTCCCTTATACCTCTTCCGGGGATGTAGGTAAAAAGGAGGTGTGACAGCTCTGGCGACTCTGCTGGGAATCGAACCCAGAATCTCTGGTTCAGGGTTCAGAATTCGAGCTTAGATGAATTATTATAGTTAGCTTTATTAGTTATCTGATTTTGTTACATGTTTGGGCCTAATGTGCTAAGTGTTGCTTTTACCGCTTTGATATTCTGTGAAATGTATATAAATTGCTACGAAATTCTTCTTCTCTCTGATTCTTCTAAATCATGGAGGAGTGTGCACTTTGTGTGACTTCTCTTCTGTTAGAGTCATATCCCAAATTTTAGAACGAGGTTCGGACAAGTTGCAAAGCCGGTGAAGCTTCTGTATTCCCGGTACGTTGCCCCCCTCGGCCCGAGTTGTCCGCTCGGCTAAGCCAAGTCTAGAACAATAAACCCAAGTTTTAAATCTAGTATAACAAGACCTCATATCGGATCCCTAGTAGGAACATTTGTTTGCATCACGTGCATTTGACTTTCGAGACTCAACACAGGGGTTGGGTCTGTCTAGGACAGGTGTACCAAAAATGAAAAGACCATCCTGATGCATCTTACTTGCTACTTGTGCATTTATTTGATTTGGATTTGCGTGCTGACCAGCTTTTGAATAATGGGAGAAAAGTTGAAAAAAAGAGAATAGCAATGTGAGGGTTAAATGAGTTAAATTGCCTGTTTTGGAAAATCCAATGTCCAAATGGTACTGAAACTCTGCCGAATTTTTTGAGAAAAATGAAAAAAAAAAACAGTTTTGTTTTGAAAAATAATTGGTTTTATTTTATTTGCCCGAACTACGCCAGTTTGATTCTCACAGGGTGTGAGATACGTAGGCAACCCACATCGGGTCCAACTTTCTTTTTGCAAAAATAGCCCAAAAAGAACATTTTAATTTTATTACAAATAAGTAAGGTGATGCCATTATTGTCTAAAATAGCCGAATATCCCCAAAAGGGCGCCGGAAGGCCGTTTTTGCAAGAATATCCACCTTTGGTCATTTTTCAAGGTTTTTCCCGGTTAGCAAACACAACCTTAAAATCTTCATTTTCGGAGTGCTGAAAGTTCATATTGGAAAAGCCGGATATTTTTGTGAAAATTTTGAAAAAAAATGGTCATTTTTCTTGAGTTAAAATGATTCATAATTTTCTTTTAATTAAAATCACCTTAATAAATGTGCAGGATGAGCACAATTCAATTAAACCTTTCTCAGTCCGTGAAGAGATCCCGTTGGAGTTACATATGTGGTGGCATGATTTGGGGACAATAGCAGAAAAGTTGTGACAAAAGCGTTGGGTGGTCCTGTCGGGCTCTTGAAGGTTAAGCTGAAAAAGGACATAATTGAGTCTTTGATACCATTTTGGGACCCAGTACATAATGTATACCACTTTGTTGATTTCGAGTTAACTCCTACACTGGAAGAGATAGCAGGCTACGCCGGTTTCGAGGGGAATCTAGAAATCAATACCCGGTAGCACCAAGAACAGTAACCCCTCACAAATATTTGGACTTGTTAAGCATCAGTCGGGACATCCGAGATGGAAATTTGGCCAAAGGATTCTGTACCTTCTACTGTTTGTACCGACGTTACGGGAATCCCCGTGGCTTCGAGACGCCAAATACCAGTCTTACTCACGCGGGAAACCAAGACAAATGGGAAGCTCAGAGAGGATTAGTTTTTGTAATGGCATTCCTGGGTACTTTGATTTTCCCCAAAAAAGATGGGAACATAGAGCTAGGACTCGTGGGGGTAGCCGACTTTATGATGAAAAAGGCAAATGGGACCATAGTGCCGATGATTTTGGCAGAAATTTACCGAGCTCCAAACCTTTGTCGAGAAGGGGGAAAGTTCTTTGAAGGGTGCAATATGCTGTTACAATTCATGAGAAAGATGAGTTCCCGGATGGTACGAAAGCATGGAATGCTCATTTGAGATCTTTGATTGTAAATAAGGTCGAATGGACATTCGGGTGGCTCTCTGTCAGTGAAGTAATTTATATGTCGGTTGAGGTATGTTTTCTGTTGTTGATGGGCCTTCGGAGTATCCAGCCTTATGCTCTGTTCCGAGTTCTATGTCAGTTAAGCCTATACCAGACCATCCCACATAATAACGATTTAAGTCGGCAGGTTATTGAGTTGGAACCAAAAGCCGCTTTTCCAAAAGAAAAAGTGCGTCGGATTTGGCATCAGTGCAGATTCTTAGATCCTAGAACTCAAGTACGAGATCTATCCAAAGGCGAGGTGGAGCCTAGTTACACTGCTTGGTATGGTAAAAGATCCCGAGTTCATCTTGAGCCCGAAAGGCCCGCAAAGAAACCCCATGTCCAACAATTTACCGATGGAACACAGGTGCAATGGGACTGGTTGACCAAAGAAAATGAGTACTAAGCCGCCATAAGTAGGCTGGAAAAGCAAGTCAAGGACCTTCAGTTTGAGAATGGGTTGCAAGACGCCGCAGATGAAGGCGAGAAGAAGAAGTTAACGCATGAAAATGAAGCCCTCAAAGCTCAAATCCGGAAGTTGAAAATAGCTGCTAGAAACCCGGAAAGAAGCCGAGCGGATGAAAGGCTTATAAGCAGTCTGAAAAAGAAAGCCCCTAAGTGTCAATATGACCTAGAAAAGTCTAAGTCCAGTCTGGCAAAAGTCCGTGCTCAATTGGCAGAAAATGCAAAAGGGCGGGCATAGTTTGTGCGAAAAATGAAAAGAAAGTATGAAGGGACAATCACCAGCCTGAAGAGAAAAATGACTACCTTCGAGAATGAGGTAGCCAAGTAGGCCAAGGACTTTAAAGCTGATAGGGAACACTATTATGTTTGATGGCTCGGATGGAGGAAGAAATGTAACAGTTGCAAAATCAACATCTCCATAACACTCAGGTGTTAGAAGCCCGGAATCAACAGGTCGGCCGTCTGCTTCAAGAAAAGGGTAGAATCCGAGAGAGGATCAGAACCATTGTCGACTACATTGTTGTGAAATGCCAAGCATGTGAGGATATGACTCGCACCACCTTCTTCGCGGCAGTGATGATATTTGTCCGGTAGATAATGAGTGACTTCGAGAGGCTTCAAAGGGATATTGCATATAGGCCCGTGGCGAGACCGAATGATGTCCCGCGAGCCCCAGAAGCATTTGAGGCATTAATGTATTCATGATTTTCATTGGACTCTATTAGTCTGTTTGCGAGTCTATATTTTCTTTTATTGGAGTCTGTTAGTTGGTTTTCGAGTCTATTGTTTTCACCTTTTTGTCAGAGTCTTTGGTCTTGTTCTGAGTCAGAGTCTGTTAATTTCCCTTTTTGAGTCTGTCAATTTTATAATTTGGTAGAATGAGTGGTTGTAATCAAAACTGTTTTATTTTATGGAAAAATTTGAAATCCCAAAAATATTTTGTTATTTATTTTCTGCACTTATCTCTAAGAACTACGCTCGGTCTGATTCATGCGGGGTCATGATACGTAGGCAGTCTCCATAAGATTCGACCATAACCAAAAAAAAAGAAAAAAAAAGAGAGGAAAA